ATTTTTTTTTTTTTTTTAATTTTAGTTAAGGAACCCTGGGCGCCCGCAGTTTTTGGTAAGGGGAGGGGAAATTTGCTCCCCCCCCCCCGATTGATTGGATAAAAAAATTTAGACAAAAATAGACAAAAAATTTATTAAATTAAAGAGAAAATAAAGAAAAAGTAAGTAAGCTGATGTCCTGTCCGTTCGTTCACCATACAAATACGCTACAGTAAATTAAAACTATATTAAAACATTACTAAAAATTCCCCCCCCCCTGGAAAGTTAATCGATTTTTTTGCCCCCACCCCTAGAAAGTTAATCGATTTTTTGCCCCCACCCCTAGAAAGTTTTCTGCGAGCGCCCATGCCCATGTAAGTAACCATTCATAAATGACACCAATTTATTTAGGCCGATTTTCGACCGTCCCCCAATCGTCACATATTTGTTTCGAAATTGGGATCCACTGGTATAAAATGGGAAGTTAAATATTTATGTTTAAAAATAATTCGAAACGCTAAATCGTTGTTTTTATAACAAAAGGACAGCTTACAAGTCATGTATTTTAAATTAAAATGTTTTATTTTATTTCAGATTTCCCAGTGACACATTTTGATTTTAAATGAGACTTCCGGTATTGCACAACTTGTTGTTTTTCTCGATATTTTTAGCAACAGTCAAAATTTTTAAACTTTGACCCATCACATTTCTTCCAGTGGTGCAATCACAAGAAGATATAGATCTACACTGTTTTAGATTACAAAAGTATAAAAGCTTTTTACTTGTCATTTAACTTATTACTGTTAGTAGTGGGTGGTCACTGCTAACAATTTCAAATTTGTGGCTTAGGCCTAGAGTAACTCGCCCCCTGTGCAACCAGTCCTTTGAGCAACCACTTTACTTAACTCTCGATGTAGGCGATATATTAAAACAAAGATATACTCAGTAGACTCCCTTTGGTCTACCTTTTAGCTTCTTTTACTTCCGGATCATTTACAGCCATTTTGTAAGCCGGTATCAACAGCGAAAGTTCGACGGAAAAAAAACATCTGTTTGTGAAATTTTAAGGTAAGTTGTTGACTGTGTTATTTATGCTTAGTATTTGGCGTGAATGAGTTGCAAACGTTGTAATGAGGTTGTGTAAAGGTTAAAATAGACTGTAAACACTGTGAAATGTGTTAAATGCGATAGACAAGTCTGATTTCTTGTTGGTTGCACTCAGGGCAAGGCACATAAGTGTGTTGTCACATGCGCAACCAAAATGGTTGCAGTGAGGGAGGTAAAATTTTTAGTTGCCCTGTGTGCAACCATATACTGCTACATAGTGCTACTAGTCTAGTCTGGTC